ATCCTAATGTAAAAATATCCCCCAGTTTATTTATTGACTTATTTGCTGTTTACCACTTGAGGTTGTGGTTGCTGCCAAAAATAATGAGAATTAATTAAAGCACGTATTGAAAACATATGGCTGGGCAGGCTCCAGCAATCCCTGAACTGGATAAGTGCTGAGTGAGTGATTCACCAGTTAACCCAAACTAAACTAAAACACAGACAGCACGAGGAAGCATTAGTTATAGGAGAACACATAAAAACAAACTAAACCTATCCATTTAAAATAGTAAAAATTTAAGTGAGGAAACTAACTCAGGACATTAACAATATTTTATTTATTTTTTAACCAAAACTACAATAACTGTGGGGGGAGCCTTACCTTGTGAGCTCCTGGCAACAGCTCACCTGGGGGTTGCTTCCTGAGAACATAACTGTTTGACGGCGTCTGGATTAGGAAAGTTGGGTTTGACTGACCAGCACTGAAAAGATAAGCGAGTGTCCCTAGCATGTTATCAGCAGGCGAAACATTTGCACAAGATTAACTTTGACACTACAAAATGAAGACAGACCTGGCTACCTTACCTGTACTGTCTTACAGTCAGGGTGTCATTGTTTGACAAAAGTGTCTTGGCAGTCAGATATCTCTGAAGCCTGCCAACATTGAATTTATGCTGCTGTCGTACAGGAGTGGTCGGTTCCTCCATTTCGCAGTTATAACTCTGGATTAATCATTGTCAGATGTATCGTTGCGCTAGCTACGTTTAGCATTATTGATATGATGGTCGGACCGTTTATCGATATGCACAACGAGGTAACGCCCCTTAAAAGTTATTTTATTGCCACAAATTTATAAAATTATAAAACCTAATGACTAGAAGATTTTCGATACTAAAATAAAATAATAAAATAAGGGTTTAAACAATCCACTGGTGAAGTGGGAACACTGTAGGGTGTTTAGGTCGTTTTCTGCACGAACACTGTTAACGGGAACACACATCCTGACAGCTGGTTTGAGCAGCGAAGACGTGTACTTTCTGTGTCGATCCCTGTAGGGTTTTTAAATTTACGTTTTTGTGTACAGCATTATTATTTCTTTTACATAGTTTAGCCTTCGACTGTTTTCCTGATGGCGACGGTGGAGGAGCTGAAGTTGAGGGTGAGAGAGTTGGAGAATGAGCTGATAAAGTGTAAGCAGAAGCAGTGTGCCGCGGAAGATGCTCACAGTCAGGCACTAAATAGACCGAAAATTGACAAAATGAGCGCTGAAGTTGTGGATTCCAACCCGTACAGGTAAGTTTGTTTTTTAAATGTATTCATTATATGGTCTTTTAATTGATTTTTGTGTAGACGGCTCACTATGTTGAGAGCCCACGCCTTCCTGTGAGTCATACACCACAAGCTAATCTCAGCTGTGTTTTTATTTTAGTCGCCTCATGGCTTTAAAGAGAATGGGCATCGTAGATGATTACGAGGTATGTTCAAAGTTGTTCTTTTTTTTAATACTGCACGGTTTCTGGTTACTCTCCCTTCCAAGAGTTCATATTTCATATTAAACAATAAAGAAAAACTGCTGTTACAACATTAAATTACCTTTATCTAGCGATATATGTTTATTGAAACCCAAACCCGATATTCATAATAGCATGATTACATACAGATGTTTACCTACACTCATTATGGCCATGAATGTCGTGGTGATTTGGGGCTTTTATTGATTTCTTTGATCTGTTCTTTTTCTGGGGTGGAATGAGTAAGATACATGTTTAATCATTTACAAAACAAAACTTGGGTTCATAAGATTGAATTCATGTTGGATTTTGTCTAATCCACACAGGTTCAAAACATAAATTAAGTAAATAAATAAGTACTACTAGTACTAATACTTGGTTAAATGTCTTTCTGCCAGTTGAACCTCAGCTAGGTTTTGCCATAACTCTCACTGGATATTTGGCCACTCTTAACAGCCGTTAGGCATAGTCCACTAATTTTAAATAGAGAGACAGAAAAGAGTTTATTTTAAACATGTGTATATATAACTAAAACGTTTTGAGCACGGTTGAGTTCGGAGCTTTGGGAATGGCCGTTCCAGCAGCCTAATGTTAGTTCTTTTATCCATTCCAAAACCAGTTTTGATGTGTGTTTGGGATCATTGTCCTGCTGGAACACCCAATTTTGTCAAGGTTCAGCCATCTAGCTGTTGATTTGGGGTGAAGCTGAAAAGCCCAAACGTAATGACATTCATCCCCAAGATGAGTGTATGTAAATTTCTGTTCACAACTGTAGCTATCAAAGCAAAGTTGGAGGCTTTTGTGTTGAGAAATGTGAGTAATTATTGTTTATAAATTTGTTGACAGAGAATTCGGACATTCACAGTAGCTGTGGTTGGAGTTGGGGGAGTTGGCAGTGTGACAGCTGAAATGCTCACTAGATGTGGCATTGGTAAGGTAATAGAAGCTTTCATTATCTTTCACTTTTACTTGATTTAAATTTAAATCCATGTCCATCTGTGCTGATTTTACTCTTACCGTGGCTTGTTCTCATTTTGTGGCATCCCAGTTGCTCCTTTTTGACTATGATAAAGTAGAGCTGGCCAATATGAACAGGCTGTTCTTCCAGCCTCACCAAGCAGGCCTCAGCAAAGTGGAAGCAGCAGAACACACACTCAGGTACACTGTTGTTAACAGACATCCACTTTTCCACCAAAGCCATTCAGTTTCTTTCAAATATATCTAACTTCCCTTTTCCCCAAACAGAAACATCAATCCAGACGTGTCATTTGAAACCCATAACTACAACATTACTACGATGGAAAATTTTACACATTTCATGGATTGTATCAGGTTAGGATTCATATTGTATATTTTTTGTAGTTTTCTTCCTCTGTCCCTTTTTTGCACCAGCAAATAACTGTGTGTTTTCAGTCATGGAGGGCTGGAAGAAGGAAAACCAGTGGATTTGGTCCTGAGCTGTGTGGACAACTTTGAGGCCAGAATGGCCATCAATACAGTGAGTGTGTATACATGTCAATGTCACAAAAAAAGAGATTTAAAAAAAAAAAAAATACATGTAACTCTTACAAGTTGAATTCATTTTGGTGTTTGTTTCAGGCCTGCAATGAACTAGGTCAGATCTGGATGGAGTCTGGTGTCAGTGAAAATGCTGTGTCAGGACACATCCAGCTCATCATTCCTGGGGAGACGGCCTGCTTCGCTGTATGCTCACACTTAAATAACAACAACATATCTTTGCAATATGATGACGTCCAGCTCTTACAGAAAAATGTAGTTGCATTCTAAAACCATATAACACCCTCTCTCTTAGTGTGCTCCTCCACTTGTGGTGGCAGCCAACATTGATGAGAAGACCCTAAAACGGGAGGGTGTGTGTGCTGCCAGCTTACCAACAACCATGGGTGTTGTGGCAGGTCTCCTTGTGCAAAATGTCCTCAAGTAGGTTTATTTTCATGTTTTTCTGGGCAGGTTCAAATCTAAAAGTGTAAAGTGAAGTTCAATATTATTTATTAAATGTTTTGTCTTCCAGATATCTTCTAAAGTTTGGTACTGTTAGTTATTATCTTGGCTACAATGCCATGCAGGACTTCTTCCCTGCCATGGCAATGAAAGCTAACCCCCAGTGTAATGACCGTCACTGCAGGAGACAACAGGAGGAGTACAAGGTGTGTGTGTGCTCACTGTTTGCTCATGTAACATGATTCCAAGACTGATTAAAGTCCCATTCTTACTGCTTTTATATAGTGTTAGAAAAGCTAACCTTACTCACTTGTTTTCTGTTCAGAGGACAGAAGCAGAGCGGCCCAAAGTGGAGGTCGTACAGGAAGAGGAGGAGGTTGTACATGAAGACAATGAATGGGGTGAGCAAAAGAAACTTGTACAGTGTCCTAAATGTAACATAGTTTTTGTGTTGTTGTTTTTTTGTGTTAATGTGTGTTAATATACAAAAATGTGGTGCGCAGGTATTGAGCTGGTATCAGAGGTGACTGAAGAAGAGTTAAAGGCTGCTTCAGGTACTGTGCCCGACCTCCCAGAAGGCATCACAGTGGCTTATACCATTCCAGCTGAGGTTAGTACGCTTTAAGATACCACAGCTTTGAAACTTTGAAACTAGGAGCCCTGTATGGGTAGACTCATTAATTTTAAAAAAATATACTGACATTTATATCAAATACTTTTTTGCCTTAAGTAATAATGGTGAAGTCAAATATTTACAGCACTAAGTGACTTTTAGTGACTCTTCAGTTTTACTTTCATTCCATACTGCTTTTAAATGAAATTACTGTGGAGAGTACTGTTGGGCTTGAAGATCATTTCTAAAAAAAAGCGGCATTTTGTTGTAATGTTTTAGTGTTTGGTCTTGTCTATGAACCCAATTCAACTCATTGTTTTCTCGTCTTTGAACTAGGAAAAAGCAGATGGCGAGACAGTGGAGGAGACTGAACAGAGCCTTGAAGAATTAATGGCTCAGATGAAAAAACTGTAGGAAACAATCTGAAGGTGCATTTCTGCTGTTAATATGAGACTAACCTTTTCCTGCCTGTTCATTCCAACATCATTGTGAAAATGCTAATTGCTGTACAATACAACCAGTTAAAGAATGAGTTCATCTAACCGCTGAAGACGTGGAATGCAATGCTGCTTGTGGTATTTCACACGCGGGGGAAAAAAACCACACACAAAAACATCAGATATGTAATTTGCTGACATGGTAAAATGTTTAGCACTTGAAATGGGAACATTTTCTAATTACATATCAATAAACCTGAAGATATCAGTTAGTGTTTTGCTTACCGAATGTGCGTCCCAACTTTTCAACATCCACAAAAAAAGAAGAAATGTTTCCTGTAACATCACAGAACAATGTTCAAGTTGTCTCAATAAAGTATTTATTAGATGGACATGTTGGACTTTATTTTTATTTTCCTATACAGCTTTTACAGATGTTATTAACATGGTATTAATACATGAATAGATGCAAGCAGTAAAACATTTTGTATCTTGCAATAGGTTTTGGTACAATGTGTCCCTTTTGGCCTTAATGTATTGTACCTGAAGCCTTATATGTCACAGTGATGTCTTTGGTAAGACCCTATAATTATTTTGAATAAATGCATGTGCACTTAATTTTGCATAAACACAGCCTTAAATCAGCTACAGATAATGATTCTTCAGACATGTGTTTTACTTAATGGTCCAAGTTTTCCTTCCTCAAAACACTGTTGGATATGCATTGTATGTAACAAACGTTAAAATATATATATATAAAATTCATAATGTAAACAATGTATATTTAAAAACAAAGTGCTGGGATCTGACAGTCGTGTTAATCATCATCAGGAGAGTTCACATTCTAATGTTTCTTCTTCTGCACGTTCTCACTAACGCCCTTTTGTACTGGGTGTTTAGCATGATTCACACGGAACAATTTGAATGCCTAGATTGAAAAACTAACATTTCAAATGTGAATATAATAATATAACCTGTTGTACCATACAAAGTTGGTCATAATTAAGCATGTTTTTTATGGCTGGAGTGACTTCATACCCACAAATAAATCTAGGCTAAGCTGAAATTTGAGTTTAGTGTAGTGTAGACCTGAGTTTAAAGCCTGTTAAAGAACTGATTTCTGAAGTGTATTACACATGACTGCATGCAAAACACCACTGGCAGATATGCAGGTTTTAAACATGAATACTGTAAAGTTCACATTCCTTTTGGCAGGTACAGTATGTACCTTCACCCACATGTGATGCATGTGATGACTAAATTTTAAATTAGTTTTGGTGAAATCAAAGGATTTCAGTAACACTGTATAATAGTTAGAGCTGTCCAAACAGCCATTACTAATCAGCTGCAACCCTAAGCAGGGTCACCTCTGAGCATGTGGGAGGGGAGCAGGTCCTCTCACACTAAATGCGTCTCCGCTGGAGGAATGGCGAGATGGGGCGTTACCACACACTAATGATGGCTCTGCCTCTTTGATCTCCATTGCACGCTTGTAAAGCTCTGCTGCCTTCTCGAAGTCACCCTCTTCATAGCTAGATTGAAATGTAAATTAAGAAATAAAATTTATAACGTAACCAATAACATATTATTCATAATTAAACTTTTGCTAAATCTCACTCACTAATGTACCTTAGCACAGCCAGGTTTTTGAGAGTCTCCCCAACCCGTGGATGAGAGCGACCCAAACTGTCCTCGTAGATTTTCAGTGCTCGTTCATAAAGGGGCAAGGCATCGCTGTGCTTCTTCTGCCAAAGACACAAAAGAAATCACAGTTAGTTTTGCTCTGCATAACCTAAAATGTTAACAGTCAGTGAGATGACAAATAAAAATTTATACAAATCATTTAAATTCACTGGTTCAATACAAGTTAAATATGCTTATTATAAGTAATTTACTTGCTAGCAGAGGTAACTGCCCTTGCCTGCCTTTATTTACGATTACTGTTTTACATACTCATTCTATGTGCATCATAATATGTCGAGGGGGGGAAGAAAATTGTACTTTACATTTATTAATGTGAGAGTAAAAATGTAAATATAACATTCGATAGGATCACAACATAGATAATAAACATAAAGTTCAAAAAATTTAACCAACTGTGTCTAAGATGCGGTACTCAAGAGTAGTACTCACATGCATTAGTAACTGTAAAAATCCCATATAAGTCATCATCTTTATTTATAAAGCACTTTAAAGCAACCACAGCTGATGCAAAGCGCTTTACAGTGTTACTAAATAATATAAATACTAATGATATAAATAAAAAACATAAAAAAGAAAAAGGCCAGGACAGGGGTTATATGCTCTCTTTTACGATTTCCTGTTATCAGTCGTCCAGCTGCAGATGTAAGAGCAATGACTGACTGACTGCCACATAAAGTGACATGCAGTAGTTCAGACGGGATGAAATAAAAGCATCGATCACTGTTTCAATGTGCTGTGTAGAAAGAACTGACTGACTCTTGCCAATCACCTTGATGTATAATGTATAAGAAGTACTTTAATTTTGTGAATAAATGTTCATAATAATCTATTTTGATTTACATTTTCCTTAATGTAATGTTTTGAAGTCGGATATAGCTATTTTTTCTTAAGTAAGATGATCCCTTTTTTTTATTGAGGTATGCAATTCTGCAGTGCGCAGTTGAGACAACAGAAGCAGGGTAAGTCTCACCAGTTGGCAGTAGATTACTGCCAGGTTGACCAGTGCGGTGGCTACACTGGGGTGCTTGGGGCCAAAACTTTTTTCCCTGATTTCCAGCGAGAGCTCATAAAGTGGAACAGCCTTCTCTAGTTTCCCCTGAACAAAACACATGAAGTGAAATCATTTGCCTGATTCAAGATAACATCAACAGAAAGTATCGTGTGAGTGCCATTTGTCTTACTCTGCGTTTATAGAGCATGGCGAGGTGTTTGAGTGTGTATGCCAGAGAAGGGTGGTCAGGAGACAAGGCTTTCTTGCGGATGTCTAGAGCCCTTTCATACATGTCCTCAGCTGCTTCATATTCTCTCCTTTCAGTGTGCAGTGCAGCCAGGTTGTTCAGTGACTGAGCACAGTCCGGGTGATCAGGACCGAGGACCCGCTGGCGCATCTCCAAAGAGCGGGTTAAAAACACCTTGGCTGCACTGGTGAGGGCAAAGAGAAGGATTTTAGTTGAGCTGATGGAATTAAAAAAAACACACACACATATTACTGATCATTTGAAGTACAGGTACTAGACTGGAACTATACACCGAGGGCATTGAGAATCTATAATATTATAAAGCAAAATCTGTGGACATGCTAGGTGCTGTTTCCTTACTCTAGGTTGTTCTGGAGGTAATAAAGAACACCCAGTTCATTTAAAGTTTTGGCACAGTCTGCAGAGTCTTTTCCTAGGGTCAGCTCTTCCAGCTGCAGGGCTCTGCGCCTCAACAAACTGAAGCCATACTGAAAGGAGGAGTAGATAAAAGACATCCAATATCTCTTATTAAAGGAGTATGACTAAGTGTGTAGGAATCTGAGAACGACACTCACCATATGACCTTTCTGTCGAGCAGTTTTCTGACGGATCTTCACAGACCTCTTCCTGAGTTTCTCTGCTTGTTCATACCTGAACAAAAGCACCAGATGTTAGCTCTTAAATGTGTTTCTTTAATTGAATCCTGACTTGTCAGAGTGTGATTTAGTCCTCTGAATTTTTTTAATAATCACAACAGCTGGTGTTTGTCTTTAATGAAGATATAGCCTGACTGAAACACCTGCAACTATTAACGGCAATTTCATAACATTAGCCCCAAGATAGTCCTGTTTACTTGTTTTGCTTCTGATAGAGCATGGCGAGTGACTCCAGTTCTCGAGCCACACTGGCATGCTCGGCGCCGTAGGCATTCTCGCTTATCTCAAGGGCTTGCTTGTACAGCTGCTCAGCATTTCCATACTTCTTCCATTGGACATAAACTCCAGCCAGCTGGTGCAGAGAGCGAGCTACACTGGGATGGTCTGGATCCAAGGCTGTCTCTCTAATCTCAAGAGACCTTTGTAAAGGTGCTACAGCCTAAACAAATAAAAAATAAACAGAATCAGACATATACACAATTACCATGAGCTCATTCTTAGCAGGAAAAAAAAAGACTAGACTTCTTCAGACAATGTAGGCAAAATTTAAGCCTTTTAAGACTAGGCAGGAAAAGATGTGTGGTGAGGAATAAACATAGTGTTTTTAATATTACAACCATTCACCCTACCTGACTAGGGAGGCCCAGATCTTTGAGGAAACGTCCCAAAGTCTCATACAGATTTGCGAGCCTGGTCATGCTGTCTTCACTCTCGCAGCTCTTCTCGTAGCGCTTCAGAGAGTCAAAATACTCGGTGGCCATGGAGCTTTTGTCTTTGCCGACATACTGCCAGTAGGCCAAGAGCTCAGAGAAATGACCCCTAAAAAACAAAACACACATCTTTGGCAAAGTAGCTGAAGAAATGCATCAGGCTTTGTGACAACGCCTCGTATGTATGCATGCTTTCAGGCAACACTAACATGTACCTCTTGTAGAGATTTTGAGAGACAAACAAGTTCAAGAGGCTGAGCTGCAGTTTAGGTTTGTCCTCCTCCTGCTGGAGCAGCCAGGGAAGTTCATCTGCGACACGCCACGTCACTCGATCCTGGCTAAAAACACACACACATATAGATTGATATGAGTTGTTCTGACAGAGCCGTGTGATTTGTGTGGATCTCTGCAGGACCTGAGTTGCTGGTTGAAGTAATGAATTAGTTTCTCTCTATAAGTGGTGGAGCTACTTCCTCCAGTCAGAAACTCTAGCCTCACAGCTTCCCAAGCCTGTCAGAAAAACAGAAAGATGAAAAATGCTAAATTGCAGCCTAATTCTATTATGCATTTTGTTTTTATTGATGCTGTTGTATCATTTTACCGACTAAGAAGCCTAATTACCTGTAGATGTTGAAACCTGATGAGTCCACAACGGAGTGTTACAATGCAGAGTCTGTTCAAGAGGTACAGCAGAGAGGACAGGACAGGCAACTCTACCTCTGGGAAAAGATCTAGTACCTCTGATTCACTCACTCCATTATGGCTGGCACATACAAGGCCCAGTATCTAAAGGCAGACAAAGAACAATCACCTATTCCTCTGCTACACATTGGAAAAAAACATCAAATAAAGAAAAATTTTCACATTCACATCAAAACCAGAAAGGGTATGTGTTTCTCTGATGCCAAATTAAATTACACACATATTTCAAACTAAAAGCAATAAGGACGGGAAAATCTGTGTTTAAGTCACCTCTCTCATAATGTGGCGCTCTCTGTCCGTGCAGAGAGAGTTCAATGTCATTTTGAGTGCCAGGCGGTAAAGTGACATGGTGTCCTGACACTGCAGACACTGCTCCAGGCTCTTCTCCAGCAACCCACAGGATCTACTGTTAGGAAGCAGCAAAACAAAACAAACAAAATCGAAGTTATTCAAAAAGAAAAAAAAAAAGGTTACTATTTTGTGAAGCGAACAATTAAAATTAAAATAATTTAAAAGGGTCAAACAGGCTGTCCAACTCTGCAGAGGATACATGCTGGATTTGAAGGTTTTTATTTTTTTCATTCATTTACTTCTTTATTTTTTTTTTTTAATAATGTATTTATAATTGTGAAAGCAGAGGTGGCGAACCTGGTAATCATCCTTGCCAGCAGTGTGACATATAATGCATTGCATGTCGATGCACAGCGACAGTGCCTTTCCAGCTTCTTCTCCTGAAACAAAATACACACATTCCGGTATCACAATCTTTAAAAAACAAACAAACATACTGCTGCTAAGGATTTTTAAATGTCTTTGAAGGACCTTGTGAAGGGGTCACAACTGACCTGATCCCTAGTAAGTTTGAGATCCATGCTCTGGCACTCTGCATTGACTATACTCCTGACCTCTCTGGGACTCAGTGGGTCTAAGTGGAGTGTGGGCCACAACCTAAACACACAAAGTCGCAGAAAAGCATATGAATAGCCATTTTGACCAATACTGGGATACTGGGAATTCACCGATTGTGTATTACCTCCAAGCCTGAGGACAAGTCTCTACATTGACAGACACCACCACTCTGACATTGACAGGCAGAGGGTCAATTAGCCACTTCATGTGTTTTTCTGCTTGCTAGAGCAAAAGGGGACAAACAGTAGTACAGACAAAAATATACAGCAGAGAGTAAACCCAGCTGAGTTGAATTTTGAATATATATATAGTTGTAGAGGCTGTTAACCTGTATTTGGTCAATGGAGTCAATGATGATGATAATGTTTCCTTGATGGCGCGCTGACAGTCTTTCAAGCCAGCGGGGAAACTCTTCTAAGATCTTACTGGGCTCCATGGATAAGCCGGAAATGGACCAGAAGTGCTGCAGCAGCTGTTTGAAAACAGACAGAAATAAAAACTGTTTCTTTCAGTAGTTTAATAATGCAGAGTCATCAGTGTAAGAAAGCATTAACAAGAAGCAATCAGAGATATCCCTTACTTTAACTGTGAGGCGTTTGATAATGAGAACTGGCTCTGAGCTTGTTGAAAGTGGCCGACCAACAAAATGATACAGAAACAAGGTGTTGGGGGATTGTTTCTGCTGGAGCTCGATCCTGAAGAGAATTCAAGACTAATTAGCAAAGCAGGCAAAGCATGCAAAAGGTCCAGAATATTCCAGATCATTAAAAAGAACATACTTGTCCATTTAATATATAATATAAAACAAGATTCTTTTTCCCAAGGGTGCAAGAGTGTTGGCCTGAAGTGATTGGAGAGTTCAATTCAATTCAGTTTTATTTATATTTCGCCAAATCACAACAACAGTTTCTTCAAGGCGCTTTATATTGTAAGGTAAAGACCCTACAACAATACAAAGAAAACAGAGAAGGTTGAACGGTTATAATTACTTTGTAACATTTCTAAATGTACTGCTTAAAAGTTTGGAAACCTATTAAAGACTTACAACAGTTTTATTTAAGAGGAATTCATGACGGATACGTTATAATTAACTGAAGAAATTAGTTCTTACCATTTGGAGAGTAAAAGAGATTTTCCTGAGCCTGGACCCCCAGATACCAGGAGAGGTGGTGTTGGAGGGGGAGCAGCTATCATGTCATTCAAACGATCTATATACTGAGGTCATTGATGCATCACAGCATTAGTAATATCAATGAAAAGTAGGATTTGAAGACAAAATCAAAAGATTGAAGGGATCAGTAAGAACTGAAGTACCTTCTGGAAGCTTAATTGTGAGGTGGTGCCGCTACAAGCCTGTTGATAGGCCTCGATCTGCTCCTGCTCATCATGTAGGTCCCACAGCACATCTCCCGAGTCTTCTTCGCACCCCTCGTCCATCCCAGAGTCCTTAGACTCAACGTCTGCTACTTCAAGACACAGCAACTCCTGGATGAAGCAGGAAAGAAAAAAAAATCAGACAAAAAAAGGTTTCAGTTTTAATTCTTATACCACAGACTTTAAGCTTTGTGAATTGATAAAAATAAGGATGTTAAAAGACAGTCTGTACCTGCTTGATGATTTTCTCTAGCTGAGCATAAATCAGACTGGCCCCCTCCTCTGCAGAGCCACTATGATCCACTACCTAGTAATGTTCAAAACAGGTTTGGGACAGACACAGTATTAGATTGCATTTAAAGACAATAAACAGAAAAATATCAGCTTTTTCTCCACAGTTATTATTTTATTTATACTGATGCATTGCATGAAATGGGTTGAAACTAAAAAAAAAAATTTCTAAACTTATTAACCATATAAGTACCTTGATTTTAGCAGCCTTGTCTGCAGCATTGACCCGTTCGAGCAGTTGCCTGATGGGTCCATTTAAATTGTGATCTTCTTCGGTCCTAAGATACAGCACCAATGGACGGCCATCTGGATTCTTAACAAAAGCCTCTTCACAATCCTCCACCACAGAGCTACGGCAATGTATTATGCATGAATATTAAACACAAACCTTCGTTAATCTTTCGAGAAAAAAATAATTTGTGTGCAATCTTTATTATAAGGTTATCAATTTCCTAAACTCACCATACCTAGGGACAGTAGATTTGAGAAGAAGAACACACAGAGAACTCCTTTCAATCTCCTGCTTGCGCTCTACAGCGTATGAAGCCGCATTCTCCTCTGGGAAGAAGACATTAAGGTAGAAATGGCCTAGACTCTCACATATTCGCCGCAATACAGAGGTGTGTTTCTGCAATTAAAACATTAAGCACAGTTTTCCCAGACCTGATTAATAATAAGGTAGAAGGTTATAATAAGGTTAAAGGTATTTTTCACAAAAACTGCCATTTTAAACCCACAATCCCACACACAGATTTTCTCAAAGATAAAATCAAATTTTGTTTTTTCTTTTAATTTGATTCAATTAAAATTCTATGAGTGGATCTGACTCAATGAAATACAAAATGTCCAAAATTAAAAAGAAAAAAAAAATCCAAATAATGATTTTACTGGCATATTTATCGAGTCATTCATTTTTATCTTAGCTTAGTTCAGCCTTTCATAATATAACGCTACAGTCCTATCACTGTGTTACTTTAAGCCATGTCCAAGAAACAGCCACGTAAAAGTGGGCAGCGTTATAGTGGTACAACAACATCACATGAAAACAGAATATTTACAGTTTTTACAGTGCTCATCTTACCGACCTTTATAAATATATCCAGCTCAGCTTTGGTCTCCTGGGTGAAGATCAAGTAGCAGCGGACTGTGTTGCTCCACAAGGCCTGGGGAACGTGAGGTGACACCTGCAACAGACTCGCCACAGCAGCATCCCAATCATCTGACAAAGACAGACACATATGGTAAAATATACAAGTCATGCCCATGAAGAGATTAGTGAATATGTGCTTCAAAAATACCTGCTTGCAAACAGAATGATGTTAATAAAAAAAAATCACAATAACTAGGTCATCTAGAGGTCAGTTTCTCAGAAACACTCTCTTCCCTCTCAAAGTTTCCTTACCTCTGCTCACATTAGCAAAGGGCCCTTCCACATCTATTAAACTGTGTGCAAACTCTGGTCCTCTGAATGTTTGTTGCAATTGCATCATGCTGCCCATAGAGGGCTCACTTCCCAGCACACCGCCAGTCCAGTACTCGCACTGTGTTCCTGTAGCTGAAGACATTTAATAAATCACTGTGGTGTTTTATCATCATATTTGCTGGACAGGAAAACTTATGCAGAACCGATTGATGGCTTAATAACAAAAAGTCCCCAATAGTGTGAATTTTTGTCTTACCAGTGACAGTGGTTTGGTTGTCATCGGAATCTGAGTCATTTGGGTCATAAACCTGGATTCCCTGAGCCTGTAACTGTTGAAGTTTGGCTTCCAAGTCCCTTTTAGCCCGCAGGAGATCCTGTATCTCCTTTTCTTTTGTCTCCCGGAAAATCTGGTGGTGATTTTGCCAAAAGGTTAAAGCTGCAAATGTGAATACTAGAAAGAATGCAATGCCACAATCGTTCTCAAACTGTGAGGCACAGAGCTGTGTCAGGGCTTGGACAACCAGAGCCAAAATTTTGGGTCAACTAAGATGAATGGATGTTATTGTACTTTTATCATACTTTGACTTTGACTTCAAATTTGATCATTTTATGCTTGTTTATTGTTGATGATTGTAAAAGAAAGACATGTGAGGTATTAGGGGGAACTTTCACCCTCTTGTGAAATGAGGCGTGATGCGGTGTACTAGTGCTGTGGGATACTGCAAATTTTAGTACAGATCCGATACCAAACAAACGCAGGGTCAGTATTTCTGATACTTTTAACCTATAAAGCCAGATTGTGTAGCGGAGAGCAATGTGTCAATAAATGTGTCAATAAATTTACAAATTCTATACAAACACATTTTAATGACCACTAAGATTTAGACATTTTCCATAGTGGGCACTGTTTGAGGATGTTTGATCACTAGTATCAATCTGATAACAATACCAACTTTGGTATTAATCTTCCTACGTCTATGATGTACCTTAAACTGACGTTTTACTTTGTCCCTGTCATGTTCAAATGTGGCAGCCCTCTCCATAGCTTGATATTTTGCCTCAAGAGCACTCTCTTTCTCTCTGAGGATCTTCTGGTAGGTCTTCTGCAGAGCCTGTGGTGACATTGAAAATAGCAGCATCCCACCGTCACATTAAATCATCCAAAGCCCACAACTTTTTCAGTGAAGTTAGAATAAGCCTTGTGCATTTTGTTCATTATCACCTGCAGCTCTGCTCTCAGCCTCTTGTTCTCCTCATCCAGCTTTGCTTCCTTCTTTTGCATGGATGAGATCTCGTTGTTCTTGCTGACACGGAAGATTTCGTACTCTTTACGGAGTCTTTCATACTCTGCAGCATACTCTAGATCCACAGATGCTGTGGATTTGAAACTGGCCCCAATCACACGAGGTCCTCGGCGGAAAGAGCTGCGCAGTAATCGGGCTTTGGGCTTCACCTCGACGGGTATCTCACAGGCTTCCCCGCCTTCACCCCCATACCCGTCCTCGATAACCTCCCCTGGGCTCACCATAGAGGATGCGGTGCCCATGGTGGCCAAATAAGTTGGAGAAAAAGAACTGCTCAACTTTTTTCGATGCTCATAGCTGCTCCTGTGTAATAAAAGACGGGGCGGGATGGAGTGTCAATTAAGGAAATCTTTTTTTGATGGTTTGTCACTGGCATTTCTGATCTTTAAGTTGTTTTTTTCCAGGCCGTCTCGTAAAACAACAACAAGCAAAAGGCTAAGCTCTTTCCACAAAAGCAACAGGTAGCATTAGAATTATTTGTATTTATTTATTCATGTATTTATTATTAAGAACTGAAAAAATGACAAAGCAACGCGTTTGCAGTTACTATCGAAATGGGTTTAAGCATACCCGACTAATAGCAACAAATCCAGATGAACTTAGTTAGCTTCGTTAACATTAAGTTTTGGAGCGGTTCAACACCCTAACTGCGTCATTTATTAATGTAAAAACTAAAGCAACGGCACAGTAAAGTGTTTTAGCTGAGAAGAAAACTGCCTACACGCCCAAGTTTGGCAAATGAAGGTTAAACAAATAGCTACACTCACGGTCCGCTCCCCTCACAGCTTCTTCCTGGCTGCCTTGGTAACAAGGAGAAAATACGGGTACCCGCACAAGTCAAAAACAACAGAAGTTTATTCCCCTCAAAGGTATGGGAATTACCCCATCTCCCGGTAATCAAAGAATTGCGTTTCATGATGTAATAAAATCTGCCCCAACACGTAGTGCTTAAAACATTGTTATTTTTATCATCATCGTCATCTTTTTTGAGCTGCTCCCTTTAGGAGTCGCCACAGTGGATCATCTGCCTCCAGCTCACCCTATAGTTTGCATCCTCCTCTCTCACACTAACCTTCTACAGGTCCTGCTTCTCCACGTCCACGAATCTTCTTTGTGGTCTTCCTCTTTTCCTCTTGCCTGGCACTCCCATATTCACCCCGTACCCAGGAAATACATCATCTATGCCTCCTCTGCGCATTTCACTTTGACTGACCAGGTCAAAGTAGGTCTCACTACCATCTTGTAAACCTTTCTGAAACAAATTACAACATTTTACTTCATGTAATAGGTTTACTTTATAGTCTACATCATCAGGTCTGCTCTTTTAAAAACTGTGTTAAAACTACTCTATCAGTTGGTTCAATGTTCTACTTGTGTCAAATATCAAATAAGGTATTTATATTGTTTATTTTACTATGACATAATCTACAATCACAAAACCAACTGTTCTGTGTGTTTGTCACCATCAAGTGGTCGATTTGATCTGCTGCAAACTTCTTCAATCTTAGACAAATACTCTGAAGAAAGTTACGAGCAAACTATTTAATATTCAGATGATTAATTTTATTTTCAAAATAAGCGATAATTAGGTGCTAAAGCTTCTAAATGAGGTACACTTTTTGTAAAGTGGACAAAACCCCCAACAACACACAGAGAACCTTCAACTTCCTGACACAAAGAAACCAAACCTGTAAAATAGCGTTTCACCTGGGAGGCCTGAGCAGTTGTGCTGCATATTTTACACTACTGAGGCCATTATAAACACACCATTTAGATTTCTGAAAATGTGCACATTCTTCTTCTTGTTTTGATCCCAACAACATCACAAAAGCTAAAACAGTGGCATGCTTATCACGTTGTTGCATCATCTATTTTTAGCAACATTTTGTAGGTGTTAAGGCACTGAAAGCACCACACTATCTATATCCTTAACCCTCTGTCTCATTTTATAATGTACCACGTGGCTCCACTAGGTAACGCATTTAGACTGCAGAAAGGAAACTTTAGCAGTCCACAGTTCTACTGCTGAATAATGCAGTTGCCTAATAACGCTTCTGCATCTGATGTGGATTTAACCTCTTGGCATTCTTACCAGACCCCCCCCCCCCCCCACACCACACACACACACACTCACACTATTTCTTAACAATGAAATGTGATTATTAAAGTATGGTTTTTTTGTCATGAAAACCAGGATTCTTTATTCAAACTTTGAACTCTGGAACCAAAATAGACTGCAAGAGGCAACAATTGTTTTTACTTCCGCTGAGGTCACAGACTTTCAGTTACCTTTTGTGAGACAAATAAAGTATCGTAAAGCAGAAGCTTAGATGTTTCACTCCTTTGGGGATAAGATTTCTGAGTAATTCAGAGAATAAAAATTAAAAATAGAATAAAATAAAAACAGAATTTCAAAAAATGTAAATAAATTTTAAAAAAATGTCTCAGTCTTCAGTGCCAGAAAGCTAACAGGTCCCAAACTGACAAATTATCTTTGACCTATTATAGTTCCCTAAACAAGTACTGGCTAATTCTGACAATTTCAAAGTCGATGAATCAGGGGAAGTGCAGTTTGTCTGATTTGCGGTTAGGTGCTATAGGAACCACGCTGATGTTTTTAACATGGTTAGCATTACCTCCCTTTTTTCCCCCGTTTGCATTTTTTATATGACATCTTCCCTATTTTTACAGAACAGCTTAAGAAATGTTTTCCTGTATAGACGATTCAAAAAGAAATACATGACAGGATCCAGTATACCACTGATACAGGTGAGTGCAGATGTTATCTGATTGGCTTTTCTCAGCCCCTCAGTAATATTTCCAAAGCTCTGCTGTTGAATGTAGATTATTCTGCACACATGGTAGGGCACAAATGCGAACAGGAAGTTCATCACAATAAGTATAATCATTTTTATAGCTTTGTCTTTCACCGGTCGTTCTTCATTTTGCTGCACTGTTCTTAGTTTCAGCAGGATCAGTATGTATGAAACCACTATAGTGACGAGGGGAATTGCAAATGCCACAATAGTGGAAATTAAAGCTGTTGGATTTGTCTTTTCTAAGTACAGTTTGTTACAAATGCCAGATGAGTTGGTTTGTTTTCTTCCAGAAAAGAGTGTAGGACTCATGCAAACAATAACTATCACCCACAGTATGCCAACCGCTACATTTGCATACAAAGGCTTCCTGAATGATTGTGACTTTAAAGGTATAACCACAGCCAGAAGCCTGTCCAGGCTGATGAAACTCATCAAGTAGAGGCTGCAGTACATGTTTAGATAGAACAAGAAGCCTAACAGCTGACAGATGATGTGTCCAAAGGGCCAGTGGTTATCAGATAGGTGGTAAATTATGCGCATGGGTAAGACGAGGACATAAGATATGTCGGCTACAGAGAGGTTTCTCAGGAAGACTCTTGATGGAGATGTGCTTTTCTGGTGAAAGAAGGCCCACAGAGCCAAGATGTTCCCAGGCACTGCGATGATGAAAATCAGGATGTAAAAAATGGAAAGAGAATAATTCCACAGAGCTCCAGAAGTGCCATAGAAGCTCTCTCCCTCCTCCCCGGAAACATTCATAGTTGTTGCGCAGAGGATCGGCCTGGTCCAGCACAAATTAGACACAAACAGCCTGTTATAACGATTGACAGCCACATGATAGCCTTCGTTCACTCACATGATGTTTTAGTGACTTTTTAAAATTATCATAATGAAACTAAGAATGCAAATAGAAAAATGTGACATAACGTTATAAAATCATATGCAGAATCATGTGTGTATTACACATTAGAAAGAGGAACTACTCTTGCGGAACGTCAGTGTAACAAGCAAGCAGGATTACATTTTCATTAACATCAACAAAAGAATAATTACATTCAAGAGGTACTTTTTTTGCTAGTATAGCATATAAAAATGCTATATAGTAGAACTAACATATCCCTGTGTATGTGTCTGTGTGTACATACGTAAAAGGTAAAATCAACCAGAACATGAAAAAAGTCAACCAATCATAAACTATAACAATCTAATTAAATGTATACTGATAATGATACTGCCTTTAAAACCCAGTTAGCGACTTTGTAACTTCATTTGCCAAAGACACTTTGCTCTGTTGCAGAAAAATTCATTTGCATGTTCACTTAAACAATAAAGTGTACCAAACATGGCTACATGACTAAGTACAAAATTATTAGAGCTTATATGTTAGTGAATTACCTAAATGTTTGATAGTTTAATCCAAATGTAGGGTAACTCCAAACTGACAATAATCATAAATCATCTCCTTACCTGTAACAGTAATGCAGAGCCGTATTTTGCCACCAGTCGAATAGCAATGATGTGTGCACAGGATACGGGCGAAGAAGAAGTGAGAAGTTGCATATCTAGTTTTGTATTTACACACAACTACCATCTGTGAATCAGCCCAATAGGAAACCACAAAGAACTTGAAAAAGCCACGGAAGCCTGATGCACTACAAGCATGCAAGTCTTTATTACTACTCCAACACACTTTTGTCTTTATTACATAGTTTCTTTATAGCATGATTTAAAGCTTTACAAAAAAAATGAGAGAAAATCAAATATTTACAAAATCTATCTGTGCAAACGTCGTCTTTTACACCACTCTCCTAAAGTAATCAAAAGGCATGCATACAAATAAACTTTGGTATGTTAACAAAACTACTTTTTTTCTTAGTAGAAGCTTTTATGTACACGTGGTAGAACAGGTTTATCACTTTGACTTAAGTACATTTAAACAACAATACATGTTAACTTAACAAACCAAAACCAGCAGTGCAAACACTGAGGTCAACACTTCGGCCATCCACACAGATTGCATGTAAATTCCCCTAAAAGGTCATGACTGAGTTAGGCTTGAAGTGAGTCATTATACAACAACTTTGGCAAATAGGCACAATAAAATGAAAACTTTTATTATTTAGTATACCTGTTGTAAATCTGTAAAATAAACCGGCAGTTCAAATGGGTGGAAACATGAGAAAATACTCTTAAAAAACTAAAGTTACTAATGAGTTTAAAATGTCTGTATACATCGTGTATACATTCAGAAAAAGGCATTTACAAGGGCAGCGTCGAATGTCCGGCAACATAGGAAATATAGAAGATTAAATATACTACGGTTATTCAATCTCTTGTTTCAAAAAAATATAACACAATTTTTTTTTACATGATATTTTGTGATTGTACATCAACTCTCTATTCCCTACTCATAGCTACAGCAAGAAAATACATTTTTGAACACCATGAAAGCCTTCCACTTCAGCTACAAAGTGGCAACACTAAATCGTTTATAGTTACATTGCAAAATATTCTGTCATCTGGAACGCCTTCAAGAGAGAATCGATATCCAAGTAAGCATGATCCAAAATGTGAAAATGAAGATAAAAGTAGCAGTGTGTGAATGCCAGTGTCAAAGGAAAAACATGATTTGAGTCCATCACTTAATACTTTTAAAAAAAAAAAAAAAACTTTAATAAAAAGAAAATGAACAACAATCCAAAACCAATATAAAATATGATCAGGTCTACCTGCTATGCTGTAAAAGCCAGAGGGGTGATAATGGGGCTAAGTAGTGTCCTTAGCTGCTGTGGCTGTTGGGATGGAGGATTTGCCGCTGCTGCCGTTGTGGGACCTGTAGCTGGTGAAGCTGGGGGTGTGTATGGTGCGGATGCTCTTTCCACCTGGGCCCAAAGGTGTGGGCGACAGAGGGGAGGGGGAAGAGGATGAGGAGGAGGAGGAGAATGAAGAGGAGGAGGAGTGGACTCGACCATTCTGCGAGGAAAACGAGAGAGCTTTACCTGTGTGCTGTGAGGGTGTGGGAAGTTTGAGGGATCCGTTTGACAGGGAGGGGATATGGGTGGAAGGTAGGGAGCTGGAACGAGGTGGGTGAGAGGACAGAATGGAGGACTTTGTCACAAAGGAGGAAGAGGAAGAAGGGTTAATGGGGTTAGTAGCATCTGAATTCTGTGTGGACTGGGAGCTGCCTTTAGTAGAGCTAGGATAAAAAGCAGGGATTTTAGAGATGGGTATAGTAGGGGAAGTCGTTTTATGATCCCCTCCCACTCTTTTAGCACTTCCGTTAGCCTGTAAACAGAGATGCCAAAACAGATACTTGTTGTCAAAAAAAGAAAACTGGTAAAATAATACAATTAAAAAAGGCAAGACAATGTTAAACAAAACTACAAGTTAATTACATGGACAGACACTATGACTACACAAGCATTAATATAACTAAGACAGAACTAAAAGACACCAAAAAACAAAACAAAAAAAACCAATAAAAATACCCAGATACAAAAGCTGTCTTTTTTTTTTACTGGGTTGCACAAAAGGTGAGAAACTGAACTGACAGACATGTTACCAAGAAACAGAACCAGGCAAAGGTTAGACAGTGCAATGGCAGACAGGATGGGTCTCTCTACAGAGTGGCTGTTTGTTAGAGGGATTGTTAGGCCTTGGGAAGAGTGTTGGAGACATTTCAGAGAATAGATACGCGTAAGAGGTCCGGAGAGAATTAGGTAATAGGGTTAGGTGTTTGAAGAGTGATAGCAGATAGGGGAAAATGTGGGCCAGTGTTCCAGTGAAAGTGACGATGCAAGGTGGGTGGGTTATGCCGAAGTCTTGACGGTAAGAGAATGTATCACCTTGGGGTTAAGTAAGCTGTGCAGTGATGTTGGGTTTGAGCAGAGGTGCATTGTGAGAAGGGAGGAGCATAGCCAAAAAATGTTTTTAAAAAGTCAGATAAGTTTGTATCAAACATAGCCATAAGCATCTTAGGGCTTGGCAACACTGTTTAGGAACTCAGCTGTGATGGGAATTGGAGATGTGATGACAACTCAGATGATGACAGGATAGGATTCCGTTTGTCTCCGCCTTTTTTCCTTCTTTTTTTTTTTTTAGCCACCAACACAGTGAAAACCATGAGCAGTGTGGACATGCAGAAGCATACAGTACAGTGATGTTATGGGGATAACAGTCAAGAGTCAAACATGCCTTCGTGTCAGAGCAGACTCGAGAGAAACGTGAACAGATCCACAGTCGCCACTATCATGACTTTTTTTTTTCCACAACACTTGAAACCTCACAGCTTTGGAAGTCTTCCCACCCCCACCCTCCCTCATATGCCACATGCTTTCGATTCCCTATATTTGTTCCCTGTAGTCTCTGTTAAGACCCTACAGTAAAACTACCTGTCGGAACTGCCTCTGAGCGTCCTGCAGTTTTTGCTGTTTTCCTGCTTTGTCAGTTGTACCCGGTGACTGCCTGGACTTCGCAGACAAAGGGACGGGCATCCGACTAGTAGGGGAAGCGACACTGGTATTCTGCAGGGGATCCAAATGAAAAACAAAACAGAAAATAAAAAAAAAGATAGAAAAAACACACCAAATAGGAAGTATGAAAAGTCGAGGCACTAACAGGTTTAAAACACCCCAAAAAAAATCCCCGTTCATTCAATACGTCAACAATCAACGCCAGTGAAAGATCATGCACCCAGTGGGACCACAAAGCCATTAAACACAAGGCATGCAGTCAAGAACAAGGATAATTAGAGCTTGATCATCATGACAGTGTCTCTGATGATGAGTGTGCCACTTGCTGAAAACCTCTTGAGTTTTAGCAATAAACTGAAGAAGAAAGATGGTAGCCAGGAACCAAAAAAAATGCCACACCCAATCATGTCACCATGATTTTGTACTGAAGAGGGGAGTCATTTCCATTTCCAAGCACCTGTGGGGGGAGGGGATTAATGATTTTGTAATTTCAGTGGTTAAGGTGGGAGTGGAGGTAAGTTAGAAAACTGAAAGAGAAGAAACCCAAAGCCTCCGGGAACAACAAGAGCTAAAGAGAGACCTGTTGTACGGTGCTGGGGACACTGGGGACAGTGTTGGTGTTGGTGGTGGTAGAAGGGTTGATTACAGGGCGTGGAAGGAGCTGAGGTTTAGGCTTCTTCTGCAGTGAATTTTTGCTAGGTACCTTAGGGCCAGACCCTTTGGAGGTAGGCAGAGAGGACGACCTCTTCAGCCCTACTCCGACTGAGCTTTTCCCATTCCCTGTATTTGCTTCCTCGGTGTTAACCGACTCATCAGGGGAGCGTGGTCCCATCTCACTAATCGTGGTCTCTAGCTGCTTGATGGTCTGCTCCAGGCTGTCTAGCGTCTTGTAGGTGTTCTTCCGAATCTCATCCGTCCTGCCGAGAGCTTCGGAGTTCTGCTTTTTCAGCGGGGCAGTGTCTGTTCCCCTGGGAGTATCTGCAAAGGATTTTGAGCGCGTAATCTCATATCTCTTCGCTTCTTTGTGCTGCCTGATTGTACCATCGGATTCTTCTTCATCTTCATACACAACCACCTGTAGCGTCTTCTTGCCTGACTTGGTGCCTGTGCGAATGGCCTGAGTCAGTGCTGCCAGCTGTTTCTTAGGGAACTTGAACTTGAATTTCTTCTTCCCATCCTTGGAGTCTCCATTTGAATCTAAGTTTACCCCGTTGTCTGTTAGTTCAGATATCGAAGAAGAGGATGAAGATGATAGGCTGGCATGATCTGTAGCTCCCTGTGAGCTGCTGATTTTTTTGCCACCAACCATCTCAGCCCCTTCTGCGATGACCGGCAGCCCACTACTTCTCTCTGTATCGGATTCCTCACTCTCCTCCTCAATGCGCTCTTCTGCAAGCATCCTCTCCAGTTCCTCCTCGCATTCAAAGATGGTAGAAAGGCGCTTGTAAGCTGAACGGATATCCATCGGCTCATCAAAGATGATGATGACAGGCTTCTTGTTGAAGCAGTTATCCTGCGGCACTGAAGGATCAGCTGTGGTGTTTCCTCGATTCGCTGCATTGCCTACAGTAACAGTCTGCACACTTCCTTTTTTGGCATTGACCAGTTCTTGGTACTCTCCACAAGACAGTGGCTGAACCTTGGTGTTGGTGATCATAAATGCAATGTTGTCTGGGGGTGGAGGTGCCTCTTCTCCAGGCAAGTCAGGACTGAGACTAGCACCCCCATCAAGATCATCAATAGTGTTTTTAGGTGGACTGCTGTTCTCGTCAGAAGTCTTTTTGGATGGAGCACCATACCGTTTAGGTGCTGCTTTAACAGCACCTGTTTTTGTGGTCGCCACTGGGTCAGTTACTATATTCTTACTAGACGAAACAGGCTCCTGGACGAGCTTACTTTTCTTTTCTGTATGAACTTTAAGGATTTTTCCCTTCTGCATTTCTGCACTGGTCTTCATGGATTCAGAGCGTTTAACATGCTTCTTTGGCAGTTTAAAAGCATTAAGTCCCACAGGTTTAGGTGATATAGGTGGGGGTGATTTGGGTGTTGGAGACAGT